ATATATATATATATGATGGTACATATCAAAATATAAAGAAGTACACGAGAAAACAGTAACTAGTAACAGATAAAATCCATCTATTCAATACATACTGTTATTGTGTCATTGCTATTGGTATTGTACAAAGAATTGTTATTGTTATTTAATATTATTATTATTATTATTATTATTATTATTATTTAAATTATTATTATTATTATTATTATTATTATTATTATTATTATTATTATGTCTTGCTCGAATGAACCATACACTATACTTTCTCTCATCAAAACTCTTGCATGCAGTATTCCATCCTTTTTAAATTTCTGTACTAATAACACGAATCCACTGTTGTGGTACAACATCTTTCCCGTTGCACAGCAGCGCTAACCCCATTCCATCACTAGCTTTTGATACTATGTTTGTACTGTTACCACTCTGTCAAAAGAGCAGTAGTTCTCTCAACGGTGTATCTTGTCTTATTAGCAACATAACCTGGTTATAGTCCATAATTACACTGCATTTATCGCGGTCACTGTTAACGCGACTAGACTTATTGATAAATTGGATTAGCACAAATTGTCTGGCTTAAAGTAGTTGTCCAATTGAAAGACGATACATTTGACGTTCCAATAGGAATTTATCTGTTGCGCCGGGGTTTTCTTTCTATAGTTTAAGATTATAATTGAATCAATAGCCCGCGTATCCTCGTCCTTTGTCTTAGCTTGATCTGTCTAGATGTCTTTTTTTTATTACACCCCTTTTGTTCTCATTCCATATTCATTCTTATTGAATAGCCTATATTTTATGTGAAAGTTACATAGGCCTATAAATTATATATATATAAAAAAATTGCTTTAATTTTTGTTTACTGTTGTATATCTTTTTAGACTGTTTGATTAGCAAATAGTACAATAAACTTTCACGTTTCGAGCTTTGTACTTTTTTCTCACGGAAAATAGATCTGTTTTCTTAGCAAGTCTGTATTTGTTGATTTTGATGATTCCTAAGTTAGGTGATCTGAGAGACGTAGCACTGTAAGCAAAACATTACAGGTTCCTCTGTGGTATTTTTTGTCATCCTCCTACCGCTTTAGTTAATTGAGATCGCACTGGGGTTGCTCAAGAAATACAAGTCAAGCCAGGAGAAAAAGCATAGACTGACCTCATGAGGAGCGTTGCTTCAACTCAGCCACGCAGGCTGCAGATGTACACCTAGTACATAGCAGAAGTCAATTTAATGATCCATTTTAGATTTAGATATACAACAGCATCATCGATATAATTAAAACTCACAAAGACACTCAGCGATAGGTTAATATATACACTCTAGTGTATCATTTCAGTATTTTAATTCCAAAATATAGCTGAAATATTTTTATACATTTTTTGTTTTTAATTTGGCCTACAAAATAGTTATACAGGCGCTATGGAATTGGATTTTGTTCAATTACAGCGATCGAGCGAAGTTCTACAGTAATTAATTGTCATAGAATACTGTCCGATCAATGATATTAATACGTTAGCAACCGTACTTGATGGTTATCAGTACATAGTGTTTGTTTTTTCTTTCAATGAATGATCCACATTATTTAATAGTTTGTAGTTGTTTTCTGAAAGGCCGGTTGTTTTTTGTAAGTTATTCTAACAATGTAATTATGAGTTATTCAAAGAGTTACTTATCGTCTGAATTAATAGACATTAATCGTAAAGCTATATGAACTAAGTCAAGTACTAGCACCAATAAACATGTGGATGATGAATAAGAGGTGCAAAAATAAAATAGGCCTATATGAACTTAACATACATACATTGACTTTTAAACTCTTTCCAGCCTATACATATTTGTAGTTGTACAGTACAGTATAATGTCATCGTTAAAAGTGTGATGTGATAATGATCATGTCTAATGCTATCATCATTTCTTCCGAGGAATGTAATTATCAGACAAACTAACAATACTTATCAAATAACTAGCGGTTTAAAGAAAACGATGGATTTCAAAGTTAAACTAACAAAGAAATTTTATATGGCAAAACATTGCCTTCATGATCCACTTACACAGGAAGACTAAAGATGGGCACGTGATGTTTTTGAACAGGTTGCATCAGCGGATTAAACAGGGTTAGCATTTATCATGTTTGCGTTGAAACGTTATATTTTGATTGGTATTTACGGGACGTTTTATTTTGTGACTCAGGACCATTTTACGCAATTATTGCTAAAACAGAAGTTTGGTTAGCAATTTCAAAGTTAATTGGCTACTTCGAAGTCGTTCGTAGGATTTTAGAAGCCACTGTATTCTATGTCAAACACACGTATCTTATTAACAGATAAATTGTTCATATTTCCGTCATTTAATTTTCAAAGAGATATGCGAATGTTTATAGGTATGTATCATCTGCTAAGTTTCGCAAAAAAAATTACCCCTTAAAAGAGTCATTTATTGTCTGATTTCTTCTTTGTTAATACCAATAATATCTTACCAAGCGGAGGACGAGGTTTGTGTCGTCACTGCTTACTGGAAACGCGATGTGCTACGTCACAGATTTAACAGCCAACGGTGGTACATGATTGTCAACGCTGAATTCATACAAGCGTGAGTTGTCGTGAAGAGTAGTACAGCACTCGTCTTCAGTTCGATGTTCGGTAGCCAATAAGTGGAAACGTCTAACAACTATCGCGATTCATTTAACTTGTAGGCCTATAATATATCGGCATAGTCTACAACTACATTTACATTCATTTAGATTCCATTCGACAACTCGTTTAATGCGATACCAATAGTAAGAATGTTTATTTTTGTTTCTCTAATCTTATACATCTTTTCAAAATACAGACTGGAGTCTATTGACAGCAGATGTTAAATGGAACTCAATATTAGAGGTGATTGATTTTAAAATTTGTTTTACTTTCAGAATTCGAAGAAGCAACAAATTCAATAGACTTACCAGAGACTGAAAATAAATTCAAAGTTAATAATATGGCCAACGGAGATGATCTACACACCCCAGATGTTGCTGAGAAATCTGACGGCCTAGATGAAATTCAGAGCGGTGAATCAATCAACTCGGAAACAGCATCAGATAATGGTAAATCCCCTGGTAGTGAAGATGGCACGAAAAGGAAGAAAAGACGAAACAGAACAACATTTACGAGTTTTCAACTAGAAGAAATGGAAAGGGTCTTCCAAAAGACCCATTATCCAGACGTTTATGCCAGGGAACAATTGGCACTTCGATGCGACTTGACGGAGGCTAGAGTACAGGTGAGACATTACCACATTTCCACTGTTTTTTCTGTAAATACTGTTCATTAACCACTATGATATCAATCATCATAAAGTAAATGGTCTACAAGTCAAGATTACAATGGGAAACAATGTTTTCGCTAAGTATTATATTCCTTTAATTAGCATTTTATCGGGGCCCTATGATGCAAAACACCTAGTTAAGTAATACATCACATTCATTACTGGAAGCTGGAAGTAAGGAATTCAATCTGCATTCATACGGCAGACCAAGGTTGGGACTGCAAACACAGTAGGAGGGAGAAATCATAAGTGAAAAGCCTCAACCCTCAACATAACTAATTCCCTCACCTATTGTCTAAACTTTATAGAAAGCTAAATTTTCTTTACATTTCATAAATCATTATCCATGTTTGTAAATGTAATAAACCCTTATGCGCTTCACATTATCATTGTAGAAATATTTGGTAATTTTCCAAAAGCACTTAAAATTAACGAATTAAATCAAATGGTTGGTAACATGACACTTTTTGGAAGTGGCCGTTCCAAAACCTAATTACCGCTTAATCCACACCTGCCTAGAGCAGTTAACTTGTTACAAACATTGTTTATAGTTTGTAGTTTTTATTTTAATGTGTCACACGAGTTTATAACCAACATACTAACAAAGCGCATGTTATGACAATTGAAAATCCCTTCCAATTTCTCTACTGAGATTGACTTAGCATTGAACGATTGATTCGATTTAAATGTTTTCTTTTCGATACCCCTTCATATGATGATTGTACCGCATGTTCTGTTTCATAAATAAACTAGGTATGAACATGCTGTGTTAAATTACAACAAATCTTCAAAGGCATTTTCTTTCGCAATATCAATCAAATTGTATCCACATAAATTAGGCTACATTGCCTAATATTTTTAAGATTTATTATTTATTTAATAATAATAGACATCAATATTCTGTTCTGCTCATTTATTCTACTCTACAGATACAGAAGTTCATAAGTGTTTTTAAGCTTTAAAATATTTTGTGCATCTATGTCTAAATAGGGGTATAACCTCTGAATTAAAAAAGAGTCCAGACATTTAAACTACTCCTCATGTAAGCCGTATATCTGGCCATGCTTGCCAAAAAACAAATCTTCTATCTTGATAGTCAGATCAATAGGTATGTTCAAATAAATAAATAAATAAGGTCCATAGAGGAATCTGTTTCTTTCCTCCATGGTAAGATACGCTCCATTTGACACAAGGCTAATCTCTTTATCATTTGTGGATCTCAAATGGTTTTTCCTGACCAACATTTCGTTATCTTAGATTACGTAACAACAGTTACATGCATTCCATATGTGCTTCCTCCATGATTTGTGGGATGACATTTGACAGAAATGGGAGTGAAGCATTTATTTGTGGGCATTATATTATAAACATGCCTAATCATATACCCCATATACCTAATTAATAAGCATCTCGATTGATGATGAATAGTACAAACAATATAAATTTATTAAGGTATCTGAACCATCTTACAATGTTAAAGAAAAACATTTTCAAATATTTTCTAATGGGCCTAAATATTAATTAATACTGTACATTAAATCTCGTAAGTTAATTAATAGGCACTGTACCCCATTTTTAAAGTAATGGATTAAATTTTCAAATATTTCTAGTGGGCTTAACTACTAATTATTACTTTACATTAAATATTACTTTGTTGCAAATGAGAAGACTACCGTAATAATAATGTTTATATTATAGACCTATGCTTATATGTCTGGAAAATTTCAACATAATTTTCGCCTTGTCAATAAAAAATGGTATATTTAATATATATATACTGTCTCTTATACACATCTAGAAGGAATTAATTTTTATATATTTTTTATTTTTTTGTTTAAATTTAAGTTCTGAAGTCTTTGTTCCTTGAATAATAAGAACTCTTTGTAGTTCTGACAATATTAGCTATTTGAGTGAATTTCCTCATGTAGATTTTCTCTTCCTGTTATTCAGACAATACCTGATACGATCTCTTAGTAACAACGTCCTATAGTATCAACTAATAAAAAATAAGGCGTATACATAACAAAGTCGATGCTATGAGACTACTCTCTACGAGCACAGTTATATCTGACGCTGATGGGGGCTGGATGTTTGGGACCCAGGGGAAGAGCCCGAAAAACTGAAGGATTAATATGACAGAAGTTGGTACATTAAAGAAAATACTGTAACACAAAACAAAATTTTACAAATTATTTAAAAAAACGATTAGTACAATATATTATTTGTGTATATTGGATTTCAATCTTGAGCATGCCATTAATTAATATTTTATTGATATAATATTGAATTCGAATGGAGGAATTTAGGCCAAATGCATTTTCTTGGTTTGTATTTACTTCAATTGGCCTACCAAAATTACTGTTATTGCTCCGTTTTAATTTTTTTAACATTTCATAAGAAAATCCATAGCTCTTTATATTCCCAAGCTCTAAATTACTGTCATTAAAATAAGGGCGATCAAGCGTTGTGGATAGAATAAATAATGAAAGCTATTTATTAAAGCACTTTATAATATAGTATTAGTTTTTTTTTTTTTGTTTTTTTTTTTAATAAAGGCATTGTCGAGTGTGCTGTAATAGTATTAATACTGTTTTACGAAACTTAGCCTGTTAATTTTCCTGAGCGAACATCAAAGATAAAAGTCTACTCCATCATCTAATTGAGTTTGTAAGAGCTAATTAAATAGCTTAATGAATGGACAAGTGTATAACCAACTCGTAAACGAATTGCTGACATTATCTTTGTTGATAGGCACTCGACAATTCAATTGCGAGTGTACGGCGATATGCCTTGTGATAAGATATTATGTTGTAGATAAAACTGGTACGGTAACCTATCGACGGGTACACTTCTTCAATACTTTAGATATGAAAAGGGTTATTAACAGATAGTCGTTTTATTTAACTTTATCGCCGTCACACAACTTAAACATCCCAGCGTTTCTTCAGTCTCAGTGATTAGTTATATTTGGCCATAAATTTAGTGCCTAATAACGCTTTGCTTATAGATTTTGTATTGAATTCTACTTTATATCCGACGTTTTAATGCAAAAAACATACAAACACGTGCAACAATAAAAAAAAAAAAACCGGCAAATGGGCAAAAAGGAAAAAAACTAAAAAGAAATCAGGTTTGTTTACAATAGGCCTACAGTAAGTTTTTAAAAAAAAGCACATTTTCAAACAAAACAATTAAAAACAATTTATACAATATAACACAAACAAAAACTTCGAAAAAAGCGAATGAGGATTCGGAAACTACACTTTTTCTTTTATAAGAACACATTTTATAAGAACACTGAGGCTGAAAATGCTTAAAATTTAAGAACAAAATAAAAGCAAATTGAGGCTGAGGTAAAATGTCCAATGAGATTTATATTTTTAAAAACTAGAAAAACCAAAAAATATATCTGTACCTTATGTGCAGTAGGTGCGACTACCCTCTATAATACAGTACAGGAGGTATATACCTACTTGTCATATGGGGAAGTTTTTTCAGTGGCCCTTTTTTCGGGGCCAGTTTTTCCTGGGGCACTTTTAACTACATTCCAGTACAGTGTATACTGGTACAATAATACATTTGTATGTTTGAAAAGTGTGTAACATAAGAACAAAATAAGAACATTTTGAGCCTAAAATTGTCCAAAAAATAAGAACACTGAGCCTGGGCAAAATTTTAATGGTTCTTATAAAAAAAAATGTAAGAACACAAGACAATCAGAAAGAATATTTTTTCAAATATATTTAAGTTATAAAAGTTGAAAATTACCCATTGTCTACGTATTCGTACAATTGTAATTATTGTTTTCTATAATAAAAATGTGGATTTAATTATAATATATTTGTTGACTGTTGTAGTATTTAGTTTGTCATTTTTTAAATCAACAATAGCCTACACTAACCAGTTCTACAGCAGTGGTCATTCGCATAATCTATTGCTTCCTAGAACATTTGATAAGAATGTTATTTTAATATGATATTTATTATTATCATTACAAGTATCATTCTATCAGTAATTTTATTGTCAATTTTGTTGTCTTCCTTTTCACTTCAACTTTCATTGAACTTTCTTACACAAGCATGTCATTCAATTACCAACGCAATCTATCAACCCTGCCAAAACAATGTCATCATGGTCCTTCCATCACATACTTCAAACTGATGTGATTGAGGCAGCATAATTGTCAAATTATGTTAGGTGGAAAATGCAACGTAATGTATGTAGTTACAATATATATATATACTGTCTCTTATACACATNNTATAAATTGTTGGTTAGGCCTATTTGATAATGCTATTTGCACTGTAGCGAGTATGTTGCTTTGTCGTCAGGCTATTAGTGTGGCATATCCGCCTACATTCTTCTTTCGCCCACTGTCTCGTCATACAGCCCTTTTTAAAAGGGTACTCTATGTTTTTCGTTATCAGTATCACAGGTTCTTTAATATGAATGTATATAATCAGGACACATAGACATATATTTCATTAGGCCTATAAAATACTGTGAAAAAACGGCCTAAAACTGAATTCTAAACAGTTGGTCAATTGACTACATGCATATGAAACGAATCAAACAACACTACTATTGCGTTTTCGAATCCTTATTGTCGTATATGCGAATTCTCTTTTATTGAATTTACATTTGGTTAAATCTGGTTATGTATACAATTTAATGTGAAAAGTGTGATATTGTTGTCACGTGCTATGTGCTTGCCGCTGTGCTTGGTATCTGAAGAATCCTGTTTGACCGGCCAGCTACAAATGGAATTAACACTCGCACTAATCACAAAATTGATTGCCTTTCTGACTCGGCAATGTGTTCTTCACATAACCTTACAACGCTATAGGAAATTGGCCTTAACACTACAATGAACAGTGGTATTTAAATGAGATTTTTTTTTAATGTTCTGTTTCTTAATGTATTTAAATTTGCAAATTGCTATCTGTGTAACAAAGTGAACCCTGTTTTCTTTAATTTGTTTCTTCATCGCAACACGTTGCTCAAACTTTAATTTTAAATACAAGTAGTGATCCAACTACATAAATCATTTTCAGCTAATATTTATGTGAGCACAAACTCAATAA